GAGTCCGGCCCACTCTCGGACCCAGGAGCCCTGCCGCTCCCGGAGAACTGGCTGCCTGGGCGCAAGGCACGGGGGGCTGGGGGAGCCTTTGACCATAATTGTAACATAAAGAGCTAAAAATTGAAAGTTGGAGTTACTCAGATGGGAGCAAAAAACTTTACTCACTGAAGTTAGTAAGAACTGTTTACTACGTTAATCTCACAAATATCTTAGATGGGAGCCATTTGCATCTTTGGCACAAAAATTTCTTATTCCAAAAAGGAAGGCCAAAAATTAATTTTTTTTTATTTTAAAGAGGAAAAAAAACCAAAATAACTGCAACAAAAACAATAAAAATGATACAGGATTTCAAAACAAGATGATAGGAATTAACAATGGTTGTTATATTGCATATTGTTATCTTCAACAAAGTTACTCAGATTACCAGATGTAAGAATGCAAGATTGATAAAACAACTAAAGAGAGTAAAAAGTAATAAAAAACATTAGAAATGATACTGAGCTTCACTAAACAAGATGGTAGGAATTCAACAATGATTGTTATATTTCAGGTTGTTGTTTTCACATCAGTTGTTCAGATTACCAGAGATAAGCATGCAAAATTGGTCAAGAAAAAAAATTGAAGAATTAACTGTCCCTTTCAATAAACCAATAGACATCAGCAGTACAATTATCCCAGCTATCCTTCTAGACACACACACATACATATACATACATATATTTTCCTTTCCTTCTTTCTTTCTTTTCTCCTTTCCCTCAAAAACTTTAATTCTGTACATTGAAAATTTTACTATCCTGAGTGTCATTATTTTTAGTATAATAATATAATATATATTATATATTGCATATTGTTGTTTTCAAATTAGTTCTTCAGATTACCAGAGATAAGCATTGACTGTGTTCCTCTTTCTCAGGAGAATTTCACCTCTGAGTCTCCCTTGAACTTGTGTTCTGTGGAGAATATTTCACTTTTCCAACTCCTTGGAGGTCAAGGACCTATAAACAATGAGTTGAGGTATTCCCTTGCTGAGAAGGGACTACTCAGGATGTTGAAGGGACTCTCCTTGTTGCTCATCCCGTCTCATTATATCTTTGAGCTACAACACCCCTTCAAATGATCAGCCCTAATCCTTTCTTTAAAGAGAAAAGATGAAGGGGCTTCTCCACAGTCACACAGTGATTTAGTGAGACAGGTGGAACATAAAGCAGACTTCAGAGATTACCAGAGGAGATTTATCTCTTCTTCATTTCCAATAGTTTCCATTTGATTTTTTCAGTGCTCATAAATCACACTCTCAAAAATATCAGCGAGTTCCTGAGTGGGTAGTATTTGCCATGAAGCCACTTGTGTAATTTTATTTCCTATTACAAGAGAGAAAGTGTAAGTCAAATAGGAGCAACAATTCTCTTACTCATTACAGCATTAAGGTAAGGACACCATTTCCCCAAAGTAGCATTGCCTTAAAGCATTCGCTGTAAAAGGGAGTTTCTAAGGGAGAATTGCCAGTTCACACCCCTCAAAAATATCTGGATCAAATATATGCATATTAATTAACCCAATGCAGGTGAAATTAGAAGAAATGTGTTCTGTCGCCTATGATGTGTAGTGGAAGGAAAGCAATCTTTTTCCCTGCCTCCTTATTTCACTGATGTCTCCCAAAGTGCCCCCAAAATATATCCCCAAAATTTTCCTACAATTGTACAGGGAAGTACTCATTCGTGTGAATCACAGAAAACTAGGATGAAGTACAAAAATTCCTTAATTTGGAGTATGGAGGCTGCTGCATTCACTTTCTGATTTTGAACCCCAACGTTAAGGTATGCATTTTTCCCCAACTTTTGTTTGTTCTGTGATAAATGACAGTATAATGCACAGAAAAGTCCTTGAATTACTTTTCTAACTCTTAATAAAAGCCCGATGTCAGCAGTGCGCAGGATTCTAGCACCCCGAGGCACAGCTCCTGCTCCTGTTTGTTTGAGACACCATTATCATTTCTCAGAGTACAAAGGTGGTGTGGACCTGTTCCGATAGTTTCCAATTCTTCTTATGATCATACTGTATTTTTCTTTCTTTCTGTGTACATTGCAATGGTCCTAGACTAAGACTCAATACTGACATGAAAAATATATTTCCCTAGCTTATTATTGACAATCGTTAAACTTCTTTCAGTTGAAGATTAGGTTTTCTTTTCTTCCTTCACACCAGTAATAAAAGAATGACCATCACAGGAACGTAGCTTTCTCACTTTTTAACGTTTTCTTTTCTTAGTTTCACATCGTGTTTCCTGAAGGAAATGGCCAGATACAATTGTTCTAGTATGACTGAATTTGTCCTGGAGGGACTAACAGCCCAACCTGAGCTCCAGCTGCCCCTATTTTTCTTGTTTCTAGTCATCTATGGACTCACTGGAGTGGGAAACCTGGGTATGATCCTCCTAATCTCTTTCAGTTCTAACCTCCAATCTCCCATGTACTTTTTTCTCAGTAATTTGTCATTCTTAGATCTCTCTTATTCATCTGTTGTTACCCCCAAACTGCTGACAAACTTCACGTGGGAGCAAAATATCATCTCCTATCCTGGATGCATGACACAGCTTTTTTTCTTTTGTATTTTTGCTATTGCTGAGTGCTATATGCTGACTGCTATGGCCTATGATAGATATGTAGCTATCTGCAAACCATTGCTCTACAGTGTCACCATGTGGCAAAAGGTGTGCAATGTACTGGTGGCAGGGGTCTATATCATGGCAACTTTTGGAGCTGTGGCCCATACTGCCTGTATGGTCAGGCTTTCCTTCTGTAGGGACAATGTTATCCATCATTATTTCTGTGACATCCTTCCTCTCCTCGAGCTTTCCTGCTCCAGCACCTACCTCAATAACCTCCTGGTGATATTCGTAGGTGGATTCAATATGTTGGCAACAACTGTACCCATCACCATCTCTTATGCCTTCATACTCACCACCATTCTTCTAATACCTTCATCTAAGGGCAGGTCCAAAACCTTTAGTACATGTGCTTCTCATCTTATGGCTGTTGGGATCTTCTACGGATCTATAATATTCATGTATTTTAAGCCAGCATCTAGCAGCAATATGGCCCAGGAGAAGATAGCTTCTGTGTTCTATACCACAATAATCCCTATGCTGAATCCCCTGATCTATAGTTTGAGGAATAAGGATGTAAAAAAGGCATTGAGCAAAGTCATGAAGAAGAGGTATGGCTCACTCCAGAATTAGTGTCAGAACCACTGAAGGTCATGAAGATAATTTATCCCTTTCTTTTTCTTAAAACTAACTTTTTTTTTTTCTGGTTGTGGAATCAACATTCTGGTCTTTCTCCCTCTGCCACAGGTGCTAGATGTTACCCTTTTACTGAAGTTATATACACACACACACACATACACACATACACACATGCACACTCACATCCCTTGAGCAAACTATTTCAAGATAGTGTGATTCCCTGAATCCTTGATAAGAGTAAGGATTAATCTTACAGATGTTAATTTTTTAAAAATTCACCTGAATTAAATTTGTGTGGTCCTTCTGCCTTACTGAGGAAAAGTAAGGTAGATATATTCTTCTATTTAGGACAGACTGACATTTATATTCTTCCTTCTCATATAACTAGCTATAAAATATTCAGAATAATTCATATCAGACTAGAATGTGATAGAAAATAATCCTGACACTTGATCAAGGGTCAAGTCCAGAAAATAAGTCTATTCTTTGCTAATTGAGATCTCCTTCATAGAACTTCCTCCTTTTCTGTTCTTCTGTGCCTCTTTCTTTTGAGAGGTAAAAGTTTTAAATTAATTAACCTTTATAAAAATTTTAATAATAAATTATTAGCACATAAATAACTAGGACATGGTAAGAGAGTGAGGCCATTTTGTGAAAGGAACATTTATCCTTGCAAAATGCATAGAAACTGATAATTCCACTTTCACAAAAGCACAATTTCTGAAGTGATAACCTTCCCATGGAAATCTCAGGATATTGTGATCATGGTTATGCTCATAGAAAGCAGTCCAACTAATTTTTTTCTTCACCTCATTCACACCTACTCCATTTCCATTTGCCTGATCTTCTGTAGGAATGATTTGCAGAGTAATGAGTGATGGTGCTGAATAATCTCATCCACCTAAGGTGTAAGCTCCCTTCCAGCCTCCACTGTCAGGAAGGGAATGTCCATTTGTAGACCTCATGGATCCTGTGAAGAGACCTACACAACAGAATCTCTGGCCATTCATCCCACTCAGATCTCTGTATTCCTTGTAAAAACAAGAGTGACTACTTAAAAATTGTATTTCCTAGGAAGTACTGAGATGAATCTTAGGTCCTATACTTTACCATTTTTTCTTATTTCCAACTAGCATTTCTTAAAGCATCACAGACACAGAATAAACTTTAATATATGAAGTGCAAAATTGGACAAGTGTTGGGATATGCATATACTTATGAAGTCATTGCAGTCAATCTAGTAGATAGATCCAAAGGCAAATGTTCCCTATGCCCCTTGGTAATACCTTCCTCCTAAATTCTCACACTTTTACATTAGTTTTCATTTTTCAAGAATTTCGTATGAATGAAACTATGCAGGAATTAGTCTATTGTAGAGCTTACTTTACTCAGTAGAATTATTTTTGTGTTTAACATGATGTTTCGATCAATAGACCATTTTTATTGTTGTTGTAGTATTCCACTATATGAACATGTGATAATATGTGTATCAATTTATCTGGTGATGAACAGTGAATTTTGGCCAGTTGTTGGTTTCAATGAATTGAAATTCAGTAAGTATTTGAGCATAAGTCTTCATGAAGACATAAGATTCTATGCTTTTATTTCTCTTGGATAAATATATGATTGGAAAGTCTAGTCATACTTAAGGTGGATATTTATTTATGTAGAAACTGAAAACCTGATGTCCAAAATGGCTGCCTCATTTTACATTTTCTTCAGTAGTTCGTGAGAATGTCAATTATCCATTGCTTCTGCAACATTTGTTGTGATCTTTCTTTTTATCACATTTTAATCTCTCCTAATGTGAATAGAGTGCTATTTGCAGTGATTTAGCTTGTGTTTCCCTGGTGATCAAAATGTTGAATATATTTCCTAACACAAAAACACATACACAAACACACACATTGCCTGCTCACATACTCTGCTTTTTAAAAAGATTTTTCTTTTGTACCGTTGTTTTGAAAGATCTTCATATATTCTGGTTATCAAGTATTAGATAACTAATTTGGAATATTTTAGCACTGCATGCAGAATATTTTCATTCTTTTGGGAAGCAAAAGCTCACCATTTGAATGAGATCTAATTTATCAATAGATTTTCTGTCATGAATTATGCCTTCAGTTTTATGTCTTGGTTACTTTTCTCTAGTTGCTGGGACAAAATACCTGATGCCCAAAATTAAGAAAGGAAAGGTTTATTTAGCTTACAGTTTGTGGAGGTTTCAGTCCTTACTTGGCAGGTTATAAGGCAGAGTGGCACAAGGCAGAGAGCTACAGCTGATGGCAGCAGAACACAACCAAAGCAACAACCACACACCAGGGCGGAATGGCCTCAAGCGCCCTTTTCCTCTCCCTTACGTATGCAAACTATCCACCCCAGGGTGGGTGTAGCTCTCACACCCATAATCAAACTCTAAAAGCCTACCCCATGGCCACATGAGGCTTTGGGGGAACATTCACACACAAACCATAGCATATATCATATATCTAACAGCTTTGTCTAAACAAAGATCACGAAAATTTCTTGAAATTTTCATTTGAGAAATTTTACAAGTTCATGCTACACATTTACATTTAGGATATCTTGTACACATATTGTAAATTATATATCAAAGCTAATATTTTTCTTTATTTTGATCTAATTGTTTCCATATCTTTGTTGAAAAGACTTTTTCCACTGATTTACCTTTGTAATGTTGTCAAAAATAATTTGTCCCTAAATATATGGATATATCTCATAGTACCTTTGTTACTTAATCTTTTTTGTTGTTGTTGTTACTTAATCTTGATGTCAGTATGATACTGTCTTGTTTCATCAGTTTTATAATATGTCTTGAAATTCGGTATTGGTAGTCTTCTAAATTTTTTCTACTCTTCCATGTTAATGTGATTATTTTTGGTCTTTTTAATAAAAAATCTTAGAATGAGGATATTAACTTCTGAATAGAAAAGTTTTGCTGAATAATTATTGTGTTGAATGTAAAAGTTACTTTGGAAAGACATCTACAAAACGATATCAGGTTTCCAACATAGGGATGTAGTAAACATAAACATTAAGTTATATCTGTCAGCAATGTTTTGCAGTTTTGATCTTAGAGATTTTATATTTTGTCAGATGTACACATATTTCTTACTTGTTTAATGCTCTAGTAATTTTTTCTCAATTTCAATGTTTGATTACTCATTATTATTATTTAGAAACATCATTTCTTTTTGTACATAAATCTTTTACTCTAACACATTGCTAATTGAATAAATTATAGCAGTTGCTTTGAGGATTTATGAGACTTCCTACAGACAGTTTTACTTCTTTTAAAATTTGTCTCCTATGCCTCCTATGACTTCTTGACTTATTGTAATACTGGAACCATCTAATAAAATGTTGAGTAGAAGGATGAAGGCACATGCTTTTGTCATTAGTGTTCTTAGGAGGAAATCATTCTGTGGTTCACAATTAAATTTCATGTTAGATGTTCTATGTTTGATTGGAGAATTTCTCTGTTATTATTACTGGTTCATTGAAAAGTTTTATTTTTAAATCAGAAAAGGTTATTGATTAGGTAATAATATTTGCTTTTGTAATATTGCAATTTTTATTTTAAAAATATTTTAATTATACTGAGTGACTATCAGAAATTCAAAAAACAATGAATTATTGGAGCAAACTCCACTGTGACTTATTTTTTTAGAGTTTATTCTAGCATGGGATAGAGATAAATATAATTTGTTCTTTTCCCCAATGTGTATTTGATAGCATTATTTATTAAAATAATCCATATTCCCCAGCTACAGTAGATGTTATTCATATTATGCCCTTAATTTGTGTATACTGTTAACTCTATTTTTGGACATTGTATTCCATTCTACTTCCTGTCTTTCATTGCAATGCTAGCACATTTTTTTAATTTGAGAAAATATGTAATGTTTTAATATATAATTGTTCTCTTTCTTCCTATAGCTTTCCACATCATATTTAGCTATTCTTGCATAGACTTTTTTTCTATATAAACATTAGGATTAAACAGGCTTGCTCTCCTGCTACAACAAAAGCTCATTACAATTCATCTTTCTCAGTAATTACAAGCACATATCTGGACAACACAGAAAATAGCCATCTGAGAACACTTAAAAATAAACAAAGCTAGCACCAGAATGTACTCAAATTGATCATATGCCTAACCATATAACATAGAACTATAAAAAGTTTTCAGAAGGAAATGTATAATTATGGTTTGGTAACTTTGAAGAATGTAAATGACTTTTCAGAAGAACAGAAGCATAATTTTAAAATGATAAACTGAAATAAAAATTTAATATATGTTTTCATTAAAAGACACCACTGAAAATATGCTAAACAAGTCATAAATTGGGATAAAATATCTAACAAACACATATGTGATAGAGATTTTGAACCTAGAAATGAAATGCATCTAGAATAAATATTTATGTATGATTCAATAATAATTCAAACGATAATAAAATGGATGAAAGAATTTAATCAGACACTTCAAAGAAAATCAATAAGTGAATAATAAGAATGTGAATATATATATATCGATAGTTTATTTCCAAGAAAGAAAGCAAACAAATGTCAGTATATGGTATATGGGGCTGTGGGGAAAAGGGGACTGTTCTAACACTGTCGGTGGGAAGGTAGCCTGGTGCAACCACTGTGGAAATTAGTGTGGAGATTCCTCAAAAAAGTAGGAGTAAAGGTCCCATTCAACCCAGCTATTCCTCTTCTGGATATTTTTCCAGAAGAAATGAAAACATCATACCACAGTGATTTATGTGCACCCATGTTTATAGCAGCACCATTTGTAAAAACTAAATCTTGGAAACAACCCAAATGCCCATCAAGCAAGGAATGGTTAAAGAAGATGTGGTATTTTTATACAATAGGTTACTACTCAGCTATAAAGAAGGATAAATGCTAGGCTTTTATTGGTAAATGGATGAAAATAGAGACCATTCTCATAAGTAAAATAAACCAGACTCACATGTATAAACATCATATTGTCTACCTTGTGTAAGAAACTGAAAGAGTAACTAAGATCCCAAAGGTACAACAGTTATTGTGAAAGGGATGCTCAAAAGGAGAGAACAACTGGGATGGGGAAAAGGCAAAAAGAAGAAAAGGAAAATAAATTTTAAAACTATATATATATACATTTACATATATATGTGTAAAATTATATGCATATATATGTATAAAATGATATACACACACAAACTCACAGTAGCTACAATAATTGTACTACTGATTTCTATTAGTCCATTGAAAGGAACAGTTAGTGCTTATGTTGCTTGATCAATTTTGCATGCCTATGTCTTGTAATCTGAGCAACTACCTGGAAGATAACAATATGCAATATAATAACCATTGTTAATTTCCTATAATCTTGTTTTGAAATTTTGTATCATTGTTATTGTTTTCTCTCTCTTTAAAATAAAAAATTAAAACAAAGAAATGAAGTCAAGAATTGGCTATGATATAGGCCAGCTGTAACTGTCACACGCAACTGGTGAACGTTTCAAGTTTGTCATGTTAATCAGGGCCACAGTGCATGTCTATAATCCCAGCACTTCGCAGGCTGAGGAAGGAGAAGACTGCTGCATAGTGATTTTAAGGTCAGCCTAAACTGCCTATTTCTAACCTCTCTCACTAAACCAAAACATACACACACATAAAAAAAGAAACCTGCCGCATGATAAAATACTTTGTCTGTTTTTTATTTAAGCTTGTAGCTACTCTATTATCCAGCAATTATACTTATAGCTACTTTCTCAAAATAAATGACACTACATGACCAAAAAGACATGCTAGAAGAGTTGATAACCCTCAAATAGCCAAATGATTAATAACAGAGAAATGAATATATTGCGATATATTCATAGAATATAATTCAATTAAGCAATAAAACTAAATTCATGAATGAATATTCAAATTACTACTTTGAGTAGTTTAACCAAGTACAAATTAATATACACCTTATGATTTAATTTACATGAAACTGTATAAAATGCCATCAGTCCACTCTCAGAAAAGTGCAAATTGACTATTGGCTATGGAGAGAGATTAAAGAATAGAGACTGAATGAAATGTTTGTTATGCTGAGCGTGGTAAGAGTTTCAAAGGTTTATTCACATGTCAACCTAGTGAAATTGGGCATTTGACATATATGCAATTAAATGTACTTCAACTGTCCTTCATTAATTCATGTAAACTGCTTCTTCAATAAGGTAGAAATATTTTCTAAAACCAAAACATAGAAGATGTGTTGGTACATTTATTAGATTTGCACTAATTTTATAAAATAATTAGAAGTAGCCAATATCTTTAAACTTTGAGTGATTCTGTAAAAAAAAAAAACAAAACCGCTTTTGCTCAAGTCCTGGCTTATATTGTTTCTCTGGTGTGAGGAATTGGAAGGGTAAATAAGTACCAAAATGTATAATAGATACTGGGAAATAGGAAGAAAATGCTAAAATTAGAAAGGGACCTAGCTAGAAGGAAAAGGAAAAGAAGGAAGGAAGGAAGGAAGGAAGGAAGGAAGGAAGGAAGGAAGGAAGGAAGGAAAGGAGGGAGGAGAGGAGGAAAGAAGGAAGGAAGGGAGGGAGGGAGGAAGGGAGGAAAGAAGGGAGGAAGGAAGGGAGGAAGGAAGGGAGGAAGGAAGGGAGGAAGGAAAGGAGGGAGGGAGGGGAGAGGAGCGGGGCAGAGGGGAGGGAGGGGAGAAAATAAGGAAGGAAGAAGGAAAGAAGGAAGGAAGGAAGGAAGGAATCATGGAAGGAAAGAAGAAAAATATATAGAAAATATAAGAAAGAAAATGGAAACAAAGATTTGTAAATAAGGAGGAGAAGAGGAGTTGAAGGCAAGAGAGAAAATTGGGGAAAAAAGAAGTATCAGGACACATCATGTACAGGTACAAACTCCCTCTGATGAATGTGATCATTATGTATATCAAAATGTACCAATAAAATTAATCAAAAACGTACTTGAATGCTTCCCTCACACAGGATTTTCATATTTGTAAAATACGATCACATGTACTTTATCTTATTGCTACTATTGTTAAAAAAGTTTACAACTTGTAACTAGTTATATTTGTGTACTGATTTCTGCATGTTAGCTTAAGTTTTGTTAACTTACTGAATTCTCACTGTTTTTATCATTAAATCTCTGTAAATTTTGAGTTAAGCTATTACATCACCTGTAATTAAGGGTATGTTTTCTTTTAATTCTCATGTTCCAAATTAATTTTTCCCAATTGTACTGATTAAAAGTTTTAATATAATAATAAATCACTGTGAGTTGGAGACCATACATCCTTTGTTTCATAACTTAAAATGACATCAGTGTCCCATGAGAGCAAATAAAGAAATTAAAATAAAGAGATTTTGAATATACTGAATAAAACAAGTAAAAGCATATTACATAAAATGTGATTAATAAAGTTATCATTCTTGTTCTGTAAATAGTTTTCCTATGAGGGTCAGGTAAATGTCTAGTATTCATACTAATAGAAAAGTCAGTAACTCTCTCATAGCAGCTATTCAGTAAGCAAGCTCAGGATATGAAGAAAAGAAAAATAACTCTGAAGAAAATCAAAATTCTCATTTCTTCTCTCACACTAAAAAAAAAATCAAACTTAAAACTCGTTTTCCTGTCAAAATACAAGAACATTAATATATACTTTACAAATGTCATTTTCATTTTATTGGTAATGTTGAATATTTTGGGGATTAGAAAGCAATTTTGAAAGGCTATCTTTGGGGTCTGGGGATAGCTCACTGTTGTAGTCAGGGTTTGCAAGGGGAACAATACAATGCATGACACTTAATTTATAAGATGATTTCATAATAGTCACCCAAAGAGCCATATACTAAAAAGAGTATGGGAAATCTGTCCACACACTAAACACCAAAAGAATTGATCAGTTTTCAAAAACAAGATTCATCTTCCTATCCAGGCACCCTTCAGTGCTTTCTTCACATCCTGATTCCTCAGACTGAGATCAGAGGGTTCAGCATGGGAATCACTGTGGTGTAGAACATGGAAGATACCTTCTCCTGCTCCAGAGAGTTACTTGAAGGAGGTTTGAAATACATGTAGGTGACTGACCCAAAGAAGATGTCCATAGCCATGAGATGACAGCTGCACATTCCAAAAGCCTTAGACCACCCCTCCGAAGACCAGATGCGAAGGATGCTGCAGAAGATGAAGATGTAGGAGACAGCAACAGAGAGGGTGGGCACCAGTGTGCTGAATCCAGCAATGATAAAGAGTAAAAGATTACTGAGGTGTGCGTTGGAGCAGGAGAGATTGAGGAGGGGAAGAACGTCACAGAAGTAGTGAGTGATGATGTGGTATTCGCAGAAGCTCAGTTTCATCAGGGCACTTGTATGGGCCACAGCAAACAAAACACCCAGGAGGAAGGAAGCCAGAACTAGCAAAGAGCAGAGCTTAGGTGACATGATCACATTATACAGCAGTGGGTTGCAGATGCCAATGTAGCAATCATATGCCGTGGCAGTCAGGACATAACCCTCAGCTACAACAAAGACCGCAAAGAAAAAGAGCTGGGCCATGCACTCATAATAGAAGATTGCATTCTTCTTCCCAAGGAAGTTCACCAGCATTTTGGTGGTAATGACAGAGGAATAGCAGAGATCAATGAAGGACAAATTGGCAAAGAAATAGTACCTGTGGGTGTGAAGTCGAGGGCTGAGAGCAATCAGGAGGATCATGCTCAGGTTCCCCGCCACTGTCACCCCATAGATTCCCAGGAACAGGAGGAAGAGGGGTAGCTGGAGCTCTGGCTGTTGATTTAAACCTGCTAAGACAAATACGCCCACTGTAGAACGATTTCTGGTGCTCATTATTTATTGAAGATTTCTGTAGAAATTAAAAATACAAACTGCATTAAAATGGACCTTCAGTGCCCTTCTTAACCCTAACAAATGACAGCAAACCTGAATAAGCGGTTGACAAAACAGAAGCATAGTTTCCCTCTTCTGCAGTCCTCACACATTTCACCCTTCTCCCTGAGTCACCTGGGACTTCTTCCAAACTGACCCAAATTTTAAATCATAGCTTTGTTTCTTGACTGACTTAGAACCCTGTATCTCATGAATTTTGTGGCAAAAACTCACTTATTATATAAGAATTAGTTAGCCATTTGCTGAAAATTAAATAGAAGACATGACTGACGAATAATTTTAATCAGTTTCAATTTCTCTACTTTTGTCAAGCTCCGAGACATGTAAGTGTCTCCCACAACATGCAGAATGCAGGAGGAATGAAGCACCGTCTACAGAGCGCTGAAAACGTTTCTCAATTACATCTGGAGTCAGAGTAGCCAAGAGATTCAGGGTAAGTCTTCTAGTTACCTTTCTGAATGAAAATGTCTCTGATAATCCAAGGTAAGAGTATTGTAGAAGGGCTCATCTGACATATTTGTCATCTGTGAGAAGCTGACAAAGCATGGGGAGGCAGGAGTTTAAACTCTGTGATCTCTGATGACCCACAGGCTCCTATAAATCAAGTAGTCGACAGTAAAATTCATAAAGTTTCCTCAATCTTCCTTCCCAGAAAATTTTCTCAGATGTAACACTAGCCTTGAACTAGCATGTCCTTACTTATGAGACCCCACACCCATTAAACAGCCCTTAGCTTGCAGGAGAAGGTGCTTCTGAGAGTGCATGATAGAATGATTCTTGTATAAACCTTGAACTGTTCCAGTGGGTGGAACTCATGATAGTTCGTGTCCTGTGTCTGAAGAATTTTTTTTTAATTGCATTATTTCCTAAAAGAAGCACTGGAATCTAGTTGGTCCATACTTTTCAGCATGAATTAGTTCCCTGTTGGAACTATTTGAGATGATGTGTGTGTTGTCAGAGTCAAAGCTATTTCAAAATGGAAGCCAGAGATGATAGTGATTCTCCTACCTATCATCCTCATCCTCTTTTTCCTCCCACTATGTTCTTCTCCCTCCCTTTCTCTGCATCTGTGTCACCCTGATTGGATATCATTTAATTATTGGAAAATGCTTGAAACAGTATTATATAGTCTTTTTACATGTGAAGGAACTGAGATTCAGAAACTTTCATAGTCCATTTTAGTCCAGTGATTAGAGTGCTGGAGTCCCCCTTTTCCCAGTTTTAAGTAAACAGATTACTATCCCAACGCTTGCTGTCTTCTAACTCAACATAAAACTCCAAGCGTGAGATACTCCAGGGAAAAGTGGATATTTATAGATGTTACAGAAATGCTGAGACTTCCAAACACACCTAGGAATGGCCAAGTGTAAATGATGTGCAAGAGGCGGGAGCGGCTCATGCACAGGGTGCAGTCTGGAAAACCTGCCCGTTCTGAAGAGTTTAGAAGAGGAAAAGCAGAGGTGTAGCACAAAGCTCTTTACTCATATTTTTGCCTAAAGCTAAAGGAGATTTGCACAAAATACAGAGACAGGAAAAGAGTTGGTTTTGACACTGGAAAAGGCTTTTCCAATAAAATATTAATCGTTAAAATGTCACAACTGAAAGAACATTTTCTATAACATCATAAGGGAAGGTACATGAAGCACTGCATGCATGGCCTTGAGCAACATTTTCCAACGTTCAGCTGGGTGTGCTGGCGCATGCCTGTAATCCCAGCACTTGGGAGGCTGAGGCAGGAGGATGGCTGTGATTCGAGACCAGCCTGGACTATAGCGTGAGCTCAAGGCCAGCCTGAACTGCATAGCGAGACCTTGTCTCAAAAAGACAAAAATTTTTTAAAAAAGTTTAATATTTTCCAATGTTCTAGATTTCCTGTGAAGAAAATAAAAGCAAAATAAACAGATATGCTTGAATTTTCCAGTATTTCTATATCTTGCTCTAGAAGTTCGCAATGAACATGTATGCATTAAATTCTATAAATAATACAGAGTTAAACAAATCTCTCCAGTTTTTGAAGTCCATATTTCCCATGTGAATTTGATAACAGAAATGATAAATGACCTTAACAAGGTAAACCTACAGTCTATTCAAGCAACTAACCAATACAAAGGTTTTGGTGTCAAAAAAGGTTTAATTTTAAAGGCTGAACTTATTGTTGACCAGTTTTCAATATTTAATATTTTAATATACATAGCATGATATTAATGAAATTTAAAATTTCTCTAAAACAATGTAACATAAATTTCATGTGATATATGGATGCAATATAAATGTCCTTATGAACATCACTTAATGTAATTTAGAATGTGTAAATCAAGGAAGTAGGAATGAGTGTCTGAAGGCTTCTTGTGATTTTCAGAAATAACGAATGCAAAAATTCATTATCTGAAAACATACATCAAAATTTAATGTGATCCACATTTTAAAAATACAGATGGCTATTGAAAAGCCTAGCATGTGAGGAGATATAAATATCTTATTTTGTATTAAGAAAATATTCTCCTGCCAGGTGTGATGGCTTATGCTAATAATTCCAGCACTCCAGAGGCTGGGGCAGGAGGATCTCTGTGAGTTCCAGGAAAGCGAAAGCTATTTAGTGTCACCATGTATCAAGGAAAAAAAATTCTTGTATGTGTTTTACTCATTTTTTTACTATTCACCTTGTCTTAAATGATGAAAACACCTTACATATTTGGGACTGGTTAGGTGGGTCAATATTTGTGCCTCTAAACCTGAAAATTGAGAAAGGGGTAGGAGTGCGAGGCCTTAAGGATGGGGAATTTAGGTCAATGATGCCTCTTTATCCGAAAAGGGGAATCTTTGGTGAGTGTTTTTCAGTTTATGAAGATGCAAACCAGAGCAATAAGTGCTGAATGAACCCAAATGTATCCCATAGTGGCCTGAGTAAGTTCTTTCAAGATAGATGAGAACTAGAAATTTATGTCTAATATTGTACCACAAATAAATACTGTACTTTTGCTCCCATCTGCTCTTGTTGCCTTTATCTCCTGAAGAGTCACGTGTATGTATATACGTTGGTGTGCAAGAAGCACTTTGTGAAGCAAACACTATGGAGCCACGGAAACCTTAGTGAGGCTCTATGCTCCAGAGCTTGTTAAATTTAAACCTGGAATCATTCCCACAGATTTGTGTGAGGGAAGACACAAAGACGTGACAAGGCAAGATTAATAGCACAGGAAGAGGGAGGGCACAGCCAAGTAGAGAGAATACCAGAGCAAATGGCTCTGTGTAGAGCTAGGCTATTGCAGAGGGGTTGGCACTGTGACAATCTTTTAAATACAATAGAGCAGCTGCTCTGCTGTTAGATATGTTACACTGTTGTTACAGAACTGTACACTTAACCTGATCGTCCACAGAGATTAAGTTCTCAAAAGTTGTTCACTATATTCATGTTAGAGTTTCCTGCTACAGCTATCACACAGTTCTCTACTACTGCCTGATGCAAACATGTATGTATCGAAAGTGAATGATTTGATTGGGCAAAATTAAAACATGCAATTCATCCGATAATACAACCTCTCAGCACCTTCACATAGATCACCGTATCTGGCTTCCCCATCTTCAAAGCAAAAAAGTGGCATGAAATGCATCTTTTATCTGAGGTTCAGTGAGCTGAGGAATCTCATTACAAATACTAAATACACCCATGCAAACACAAATCCTCCAAGACTTATTGAGCCCAGAGATAGCTGGAGTGCTTAGTATTTAATAGTACTATACATAAGTGCTCTATCCGCAGAGTAAATTTCTGGAAGAAGTTTCTTATTATGATATTCTCAAGGTATCAGTGAAGACTGCATCACTAAAAAATCAGATTAACAATTCCCCAAAGCAGGTTAAAACTCAGTGCTGATTATCTGCATGTCATCTCTTAACTAAAAAAATGTGTGCAGGAACATGTGGCTAGAATGAGGACATTATCAATTTACTCTATACATTTTTCTTAGGATTCAAAATATTATTAAATTATTGATATGGTCCTAATGCCACATAAGGTAGTTGTATTTTTGTCATTGTTTTCTTGTTTATTTGTGTATTGATTTTACTTCACAAATCAAATTTTGCTAATGCTTTGATAGTCCTTCGTTGAAATTTTGTGGTCATGGAGAATCCTAATTTTGAGAATTGTAACTATAGATATAATTCCTGTTTGTCCTTCCAATTAAGGTGCTCAGGTCAGAAGTCTTGTAGGACCCTGAGAAAAATTTTCCATGTACTCTTTCCCAAGGAAGATAGCTTTACCTTTCAGAATTTAGTCATTAATCTTGTTCTGTTCCTGCATGGTTTCTCATGACTCTAGCTTATGTCTTTAGTGGCCTAAGCATCTTTCATCGATTTTTGTCCCTATGTTTGTCCAAGTTATTTCCCATTCTAGGAAAGTTCGTGTAGAGCCACTGTCAGAGATATGGTATTTAAGAGTCGTTTCTGTGTGTCGGACAGCTTTGCCTTGCTATGATAAAGACAGAAACAACTTAAAGTAAAAAAGGTTTATTTTGCCACATCGTTTCAGAGGTTTTATTCCATGAGCCTCTGTCTTCTTTACTTTGGGTCTGAGACCAGGCAGAACAGGAGGACAGTGAGAGTATGCAGGAGGCTGCTCACCTCAGCCCACCAGAAAGAGAGACCCAGAGAGGAAGCCACTGGACAAGATATAGTTCCCAAGGTCATACCCGTGACACACTCCCTTCAACTAGTCTGCTGTCTTAAGTTTTCAGTACTTCCAAATAATGCTATCAAATTATTTGATCCATCAGTGAACCAGCTCACTGAACCAGTCAGAGTCTACATCACCCAGTCACCTCCCCAATGCCCCTCAGTGGTCAATAGTCACTTAGCACATGATACTTAAGGGACCTTTGAGATATAAACCATAACACTCAGCTATGCCTGCTAGACTAAAAAGCTTTCCAGGATTTTTTCCAGTAAATTTCCTTCCTTATGAAGTCAATTAAAAAGCACCACAAAGTGCTAGTTAATTTTATATATAAATAGTATGTTCATACCACTGAATCAAAACTAGATTTCCTGAATTGCATGTTTTAATTCTAAATCTTCCCTAGTAACAGTAGCATTAACTACAACAACTATATTTTATACTATTATAACCCAAAATGTTGTATACTGTGGAGCGCACTGTGGACTATATTCTCCCTTTTAAAGAGAATGAAAATAATTTTAAAAAATTTAAAATGATCCAGAATTTCACTAAACAAGATGGTTGCAATTCAGCAAAGGTTGTTATATTGCATATTGTTGTCTTCAAATTAGTTGCTCAGATTACCAGATATAAGCATGCAAACATATCTAATGTTTATTTGTATAAGTTACATAATAAAGTTAATGATTAATTGTTTGATCAATCTGACTTGTCTGCATTTGTTTTCCTGAGTAACCATTTTGAAGAAATCAATATGTAATACAACAATCATTGTTAATTTCCTATCAACCTGTCTGAATTTCAGTATTGCTTGTATTGTTCTTGTGTTATTTTGTAAATGTAT